GTCACCGGTTCGTATCCTTGATTTTGTTAAGATCATAAAGCTAGTTTACACCTGTAACAATAGCTTAACACGCTGCGGGTTGACTGACAGAGAATGCCGACAAGCATTAAGTCCGCCCATTGTTGTTACATTGTTATTTGTGAAGTGTTACAATATAGAATGAGTAAATAAAAAAATACAAAAAAAACCATTACGATGATACGCTACGCTTCTATTCAAGGGTACTTAACTTATTTAACCTTATAAATCTACCTATTGCTGATGTTGATTTTCTTTAAGAAAAGTGTGTAATATGCGGAGGACGACCAATGCTATAATATTTTAGAGATGCATATACTTTCTGTCTACTCAAAATTCATTCCGCGATGGTAAACGTTTGTACGTGTAACGTATACTTAGAAAGTAGCGGCATTTCATGTTGTTAATATTCGGATAGTATTTCATTCCGTCTTGTTATCTTCGATATGATACAGATCTAATCCGCTGTGATTTTTTTATATCAATGAGTGGGAAACGTGCATGCCTGACACGTGCAGCCAAAGTTGATGCAAAGTGACTACCGCCGCCCATGAACAATTGGAACACCAAGGTAATTGCTGGTGCGTTGATGGCCTTTAATGTTAGTGCCGGCCTTTAGTGTTTACTGATACATATCTGATATTCAAGATAGTTGCGTGATGATACTAGAAGGTAGGACTTCTTTTCTGCATTGAAGTCAGCCTGGGTAGGAACCACCTCAATATTAGGTGGTACAATGGGTATTCTCACCACACAAATTGATTGATGAACGCAGTATTGGTGTACTCTCGCACTGCTCCCCATCGCCAGTCTGCGGTTATTATTAGGGCATATTTGGATGGATTTCTCGTTATCAGTAGGTTCCCAAAGCCTTATTTAGTTATGTGGAGCACACCGTCCTAAACTAAGGGTTATACTTAGAGAGAAGTTGTTAAAAATAATAAATAAGTGATTACTGTAAACATTGCGTGTTGTCAATGATAACTTGTAAAACTGAGACGTGATCCTTCACTGCTGGCCGTATAAGGAAGCGTAAGGTTGCTCATCGTGAGCTATGAAGATAGCTATGCTCGCAATTTATTTGTGTGATAGACTTGAAAATTAGGATATCGGCAGTAAAACTACTAGAGTTTTTGACATAGCCCAACAGATTAGTAAACAGCAGTGGCAATGGGCTGGTCGTATAGCTCGAACAACCGACAACCGATGGGAAAGAGAAGTTATCGAGTGGCAGCCTCGTACCGGCAAACGAAGTGTTGGGGAACTCCCCACTAGATAGAGTGACAACCTGATAAGTCATGCAGGAGGTCAATAAATGCAAGTGGCTCAGGACCGTGCTTTAAGTTGTAATGATGTTGATGATGAAGATTACTAGCAGCCCGATAACAGCAGCTTAACACGGATTTCCTAACGCGATATGTTAGAGATACTGGTGAAAGAAGGTAGAAAGACGATTGAAATCTGATTCCAATCATAAAAAAAGTCAAATCCCGCTACAAATTACCAATCTCACATTTTACAGTTACGTGCTCGTAATATTATCAGGATTTCAATTAGCGGTTAGGAACAGTTGAAATTAGTTTGAACCGCTGCCTTCTGTTTGCACAATTGGAAAGGAAATGGTTACTAATAATTTTCATATTGCAAGAAACGTTCTGTTCAAATTGAAATATGTATCAAGATATAACTGTGATCGTATATCAATATTTTCAACATGTGACAATTCATCGGGCTTGAATTTTCGTATATATTAGTTCGACTGGGGCGAGCGATATTGATATAACAAACACGAAATGCATACTTCATTGAGCACAGAAATCATTTCTTTTCTCCAATCGATTCTATGCAACATTTTTAAGATTATATAATTATGTCCTCATGACCAAATTACGGTCATGGCGACCAGGGCCAACAGAAACTATCCAACTAGTTATTCTGTTCAATTTGTAAATAAAATATATTTGAAATAAAACTTTATTAATAAGAGACAATTTCCAATGTTCGTATATCACAGTTTTTTTTCTTGCATATTATTATTATTAAGCCTTTAATATTACCATGCAATTTACATACATACAAGAAAAAAAAATCCAAATTGTTATTGTTTAAGACATGGCCCCGCCGGGTATAGGCCTCCTCCAACTGTTTCCATTTGATCCTATTTTGCGCCTTCAACATCCAATCTCTACCAGCTATTCTTTGGATTTCATCGATCCAGCGATCCTTAGGTCTCCCTTTACTCCTTGTTCCGCTTGGGCCCGTCCATTCGGTGACTCGTTTCGTCCATCTTCCGTCTGTAACCCGGGCTATGTGTCCCGCCCAAAGCTGTTGTGCGTGTTGTCCTGCGTCTATTAATTTAGTTTTCCTGCGAATATCCTCGCTCTTACGTTTGTCATGGAGCTTAATGCCTAGGATACTTCGTTCCATAGCGCGCTGGCACGATCGTATTTTATTTTTTATTTTCTTTTGAAAAATCCAAGTTTGTGCTCCATATGACAGACAAGGCAGCAAACAAGAGTCTATTACCTTTTTTTTTGAGTTTTAGTGGGAGTTTTGCTTTTAAGATTTCTTTGAAGCTCCAGTATTTCCTCCATGTCATGTTGTTACGGCGCTCTCATTCGTCTTCGTGTCTTGACTTCTTGAATGAAATTTGTTTCCCAAGATATACATATCTCTATCGCTGTTTCATTTACTATTATTGGTCTTTGTATACTGTTTGTAGTAACTTTTGTTTTTAACGTATTCAATTGTAAGCCTATTTTTTTGCTGGCGTTATTTAGTTCTACCATCATTGTTTCCAGCTCCTTCGATGTTTTTGCAAATATGACGATATCATCTGCAAATCTTAGGTTACTTAGGAACTCTGTATCTATTTTAATTCCTTTTCTACTCCAATTTAGCTCTTTCATAATGTCCTGTAACACGGCTATAAATATCTTTGGAGACAACGGATCTCCTTGTTTCGCTCCTCTTTTAATGAAAATTGAATGGTCCTAGTCTGTCCAACTTCACCCTGCTTGTACTATTCTTGTATATATCTTTGATTATATTTATGTAAGTTTCTGGAATACCTTGGTGTGATAGCGCTTGCCATATGCTCTCGTGTGAAATTGAATCAAATGCTTTCGCATAATCGATATATGCAAGGTAGAGCGGCTGATTAAATTCTTGATATTTTTCTACTATTTGGTCTAGCGTGTGGATGTGGTCGATAGTAGAGTAGCCCGACCGGAATCCAGCTTGCTCTACTGGTTGGTTTGTTTCTATTCTTAATGCTATTCTTTTTTCCGGACACATTGCAAATAATTTGTACATTGTTGGCAACAGGCTGATAGGTCGATAGTTATTAATGTCTGAAGGATCTCCCTTTTTATATAATAAAATTATTCGAGATTCTCCCCAGTTTTTAGGGATTTTTTGGACTTCTAGTATTTTATTAAACAGAATCGTGATTGGACCTATTAGAGTTTTCTTTCCAATTTTTAAGGCTTCATTAGGAATGTTATCAGGGCCTGGGCTTTTTTCTTTTTTTAATTTTTCTATTTTTTCCAATATATCTCTGCAGTCAAAAGGCGCGATGGGTGTATTTAATTGTATTTGATATTTTTTGTGGTCATTTTCTTCGCTTCGTTCATCCTGGTAGAGATTTCTGTAAAAGTCCGTAGCAATATTTATTATGTCTTTTCGCGTTTGTTATTTACCTGTAGCATTCTGTTCTTTCAATGTGGGTATCCATTTGCGCTCAGTATTTAGTTGTTTATAGGCTTTCCTTTGGCTTCCGGTGGTGGTCAGGTTCTTTTCGATAATTTCCATTCTGTAGTTTTCGTAGTCTTTTTTTAACATTTTATTTGTAATTTTATAGAGAACTGTAAGTTCTTTTTTCTCCTCTTTGTTTTTACATGGTTTTGATTGCAGTGCAATACGTTTTTTAAGTTGTTGTTTAGTTTCAATAGTTAGAATATCTTTGCTTGTTTTCTTTGAGGTGGCAGCATTTAGGCTTTGTTTTATGGCTGTCTCTATCTTAAGATTGAAGAACTCTATGTCGTCGCAACTTTCCCATTCAGTTTGTTGCATTTTTTCCTCTAAAGTCTTGAGGTATACTTGTTGACTCTTGTCGCACGACAGACTAGCTCGAGTTTTAGTAAAAGTTGCTCTACTTTTTTTTAAGTTTTTTCAGTTGTACTGTACCTCGCAGTAGTCTGTGGTCGCTTGAAAATGTATTATTATTTAAAATTTCTATGTTTGTGAAAAGTTTTGGAGAGTTGCTCAAAATATAATCAATTTGGTTTTTATGATGCTTGTCTGGTGTAGTCCATGTCCATAAAGTTTTAATTTTTTTCTTAAATATTGTGTTAATTATAGTGAATTTGTTTTTTAATGCGTATTGTAGTAGTTTGTCTCCTCTGTCGTTCCTCGTTCCAAAGCAGTATGGCCCCATAATTATGTTTTCCATGGGTTTTCTTTTTCCTATTTTAGCGTTTAAGTCTCCCATTAAAATCATTTTTCCGTTTGCTAGTTTTTGAGCTTTTTCGATTTGATCGTAAAAAAGATCTATTTCCTCTTCCGGTGCTTCAGAGGTGGGGGCGTACACCTGTATTATTGAAATTGATATTTTGTAGAATTTCATATTTAGGAGGCAAACTCTATCTGATATACCTACGTAGTTCTCTATGTTGTTTTTATATTTCTTTTTTATTAAAAAAGCCTACACTATATTGCCCTTGTATATCTCCTGTATAACAAAAAATATGATTTTCGTCCTCGATAATTTCATTTCATTTTCTTCTGATTTCCGATAGTCCTACGATATCATGTTTAATTTTTGATAATGAATATTTTAATAGTATCATTCTTTGTGGCGATAGTAATGATTTAACATTGTATGTGCAGATATAGAGTGGTTGACAAGTTGGAGGGTTGTAGTCGTCCTCTCCCGCGGTGACTAGCCGTGTTGGGAGATGGGGAGGGGCCGGTATTGGTTGTTATTGTGTGGTTCTTGGATCATGAGGATGCGAAGTGAATTTTTTGGAGGGAAATTGCAAAGTTGGTTTTTTTAACAGGAAGTTATCCATGCTGTTTGTTTTATTGATCTTTATAGGTTGCTTGTCTTTATTATTTTCACAGTCGGATTGCGATGTTTCCGGTGACTCTGACAAAACTCTTTTCTTTTTATCCATAATTTGCTTCTCGGCTTGCTGGTTTCGGTTCTTTAGTATTACGATTTTGTCATATTTAATAATCGCTAATTTACCTTGTTCTCTTTCTTTGTTGACTTCCATTTGAAGTTCCTTTCGCTTGCTTAGTATTTCGGGAGGAAAATCTTCTTTAATATAGTAGGGTGTAGGTATTAGTTTCTTTTTGTTTTTTTGTATTTTTATTTTTAGCCCCATTGTGGTTAATGTTATAACGATGGGTCTGACTTTTTCTCCCTTTTTTCCAAGTCTTCTCACGCATTCAATACCATTGCATTCGCATTTGATGTTTATTACGTTATTTATTATATCAATAACCTTTTCTCTAGGTCCCAGTAGCTCTTTTCGTCTTCAGAGACTCCGAATATGAGTAGATTTTTCTTTCTTATGATCCTCTCCAAATTATTTATTTTTATTGTCTGCGTTTCTAGTTTCTGTTCTAAAAGCTCGTTTTTGGTTTCTAGACATTTAAACTTCTCGTTAATATTGCTGTTAATAGTATTTTTAATATCCTCCTTCATATCCTGCATATCGACTTTTTGTTGTCTTATTTCCTCTTGCATTACTTTTAACATATTTTTTATTTCCTCCATTTTAATAAATAAGCGATATAAATAGTTTATAAACAGAAGTTTTTTGTTGTATTCCTGTTTATATATAATGTCCTCTTGTGGTGAGTAGTGGAAACACTATTTTTATGTTGGATACTACCACGGTGTAGTTGGATCTCTCTCCTTTATGTTCTGCCACTCGTCTGTAGATGTCGCTAAGAGGTTAGTTTGTATGCAAGATGAATAGTAATATTGCAATAGTTAACCTAAAAATGTTGATTATGTTTTGCACTTGTTTTTTCAGTTTCGCGCACGTATAAATAAGATGTCTTTAAAAAATTGATAATCTACACTTTCCTGACTTTAATAAGTTCTCGACAATCATTACAATGAAAAAACAAAAGTTGTTTTGCCGTTATGGTTTTTTGCACTTGTTTAGCACTAGTATTTCACTTTCACTCAAATACTTCACTTTGTCCTGGTACTTTGCTACACTTTTTAACGTTCTACGTAAGTTTTGATTTACTTTCACGATTAGAAGTAATTATTTTTCAATTAAAATCACGGAACCGATGTAAGCAGTGGCACGGTTGCGCCCTCCTTTCTTGCATATAGTTTTGGAAAACTGTTTGTTTTCTTAATGAAATATAAATGTTGGAAAATTTGAACAATTTTAAGTATCACATACATTTAGTTTAATTTGCATAGAAAACACAACTTTAAATGCTATTGCAGTCAAGGAAAATTTAAACAAGCTTGCAATAGCTGCCCATAAATGTACATGTGTCCGTACCACGCTCTTAAATAGAACTGCAATAATTCAAATTAATAGTCACACTGAAAATCGGGGTTTGTTCTTATTTTTTATAAATATTGGTTTGTCATCCTTCTTCTATAAAAGAAAACATAAACATAGAGGAACCCTTTTGTTAAAGTGAGCCAAATAAAGATTAATTTATTTTCAATTTAAACAAAACGCTGTAATCAGTGAAACGCTAGTATAGCAGTAAAGGAGGTTAGCTAATTAACAAACGTGCCTCTGACGTATCGTTCGTCAAAGGCGCGTTCGTTAATTAGATAACGAAATGTTCTTCTTTACATTAACTAGCAATCCGCTCCGGCTTCGCTCGTGTGATATCTGGTTCTCGAAAACAGTGCCACTCACCCACTCAAAAAGCAAGACGAGTTGATTGACAAACGCATGTAAAGAAAATTGAAGTAGTCTGTAATATTGAAACAACTGTCTTCTATCGAGCTCAGAAGGTTCTCTGCATGCTATTAACCTATAAACAACCATCATAAAAAATCTGATCTGATCCGTCTCTGTCTGGGTTAATCATCCGCATTGCTAGTTAGCCATAGCCATCGAGTTCGATTGTAATGAAACTTTAGTAATAAGCAATGAAAATCTTGGAGATTTTTATTGTAGAAAAAGTGAATAATTTATAAAATAACTCCATATTAATAGACCCTATCCAGGCAACACCGGGGCGGGTCGCTTGTTACACCAACGCAACACCTTCGTTGAGGTGGTACGGGGAGGGGACACCCCTCCCGCTGTAGTCCACCAACACACACCCACCACACGCGGCTTACTAAAAGGAACCCACAAACCAGCCTTTTACCTCGGGTCAACCATGTGGATTCCTCTTAATTCACGTTTATATCTTTATACGTGGTAGAGGCATGCTGCAGTTATATAATTAGTATAGTTGCAGCACGAATGGGTCGGCTCGACCGGGGAAGGACCACGTTCTCACAGGATACTAGCGTAACTTAACGCTGCTGTGTTACGTATGGTGAGTGTAGAGAACCGGAGACCATTTTACTGGAAACGAGGCATTTCATTTTAGTCATCACGGGTGCATTCTGATTTGTAATCGAGGATAGATGTAGATGTCTATGGGCCGCAGCAACCACTTACCATCAGGTGGACTGTGTGCTCGTTTGTCACCCTATCCTATAAAAAAAGGAATGACCAAGTCTTAGCTAATAACCCGCCGCCCCTCCCCCACGATAAGTTGGAAACCCGCTCAGAAGGTAGTGCCATAATCTATCCTAAGCCTACGCATATTTAAATTACTACTAATGTCAACCACACTGTCCCAGAACACTTGACAGATGTATTTTTATAGCGGCAATCACTTGCGTGTATATGCATGTAATGGAGCCGTGGTAGCTCAGATGGTTAGGGCTCGCTGTAACTTTCAGTTTAAAGAAAATGTGAAAGATATTCACGAAATGAATGTTTAAAGCAACACTTCCTTTTGAATTGCCACAAGCCGTCGTGAAGGTCGAGACTCACGGTGGGTTTAATACGCCTTTGATTTAAATTTCTAATTGGATAACTTTCCACAAAGCAATTTACAGCCGTCTATTCGCACTCAAACCAAACTTTAAACGTACATAAACTCCTAAAGATTACAATATCGGGTGGATAAATATGACCTTGTTTCTATTAAACAATTTAATTAAATCTGATATCTATTTTGACAAGTTACAATAAAGTATTGTATGTTTCAGTAAATGAAAATACTGATGAAACTTTTATTTGCATAATGTGTACTATTAAAAAAAATCGAAACGGATATCATAAACACTTATAATCATTACATAACATTCAATCATACTATATTTAATTTAAAAAACTAAAACTAAACACTTAAATTATCGAACAGCCCTACTCCCCGCGGTATAGTGCAATTACTTTAACTTAACCACGTGTAAAGGACTATTATAATTGAACAAAACTACCTTTATGGATTTTATCGCTTCGCGTGCTTTCCAGTACCCATACCACCATACCCGAAAGACAGAAGTTATTGACGTCCCGATATCAGAGTTAACCCGGAGTACCTTCAGCTTTTTTACTTTGTTACTTTTGGTCCGATCACCGCAGAATGAACTTCCTGTGTCTAGAAGTTTTGCAGTGGTTTATGCGTTCGATGGTTTAGTTTTAATTTTTTTTAATTACATGATACATTTGTTTCTGTTTACGGGGGTGGAGTCGGGGAAAGAAGCTCTTATTAAAATTTTTAGTGCTTGAATAATTAGTTTTATTTGTTTGAGGCTCTATGAAGTTTTTAATTATGAGGGTGATTCCCATAGAATACTATAACACATACAGTAATGCTTGAAATCCAAAATTATGTAACCGACGATTTTCGAAATAGTGTTTACAAAAATAGGTTTTAAGTATATTATTTTCTTTTAGTATATTTTTTATTTGTTTTATTTTAAAATATATTGTCAATTTGTTCAATAATACAATTTATACAAGTAATATTTTTTTCATTGTATGCAGTATTTACGCATCTTATCCAACAAATAGTATTTATTGACGTAATTGCATAAAGTTTTGAGCAATTTTTGATAACCTTTTAACCAAGGGCTACCGCATTCAATTATATACATAAAATTTTATAAAATATTATAATGTAGACCAATTTAAAGAAAGTCCCGCTGAGATTTTTGTTAGTTCTTCCCAGGACATTCTCCTCGTCATAGTCCTTCGTTTATTCCGGTAAACTTTTCACATACAACATATGAAATTGTTTGATTATAAATCGTACGTATGCGGTTAGGGTTATTACTTATATCGTGTCTCCGCAGTAACTGTCAAGCAATTATCAACACATTACAGTTAATTGAAATTTCTTTTTTCATATTCGACATATAGCTGAATCTTGCAGTTAATAACAAAGATTTTGGCTACAGAATACATAATATCCGCGAGACCGCAGTACATAATTTATTTTACGCCGCTGGCATGTCACGTAGGGTTTGCTAACTTAGAAAAGTTACGAGCTATATGTATTGTACATATTTTGAAATCACAATTTCTGTCCATGACAAATCCATTGTACAAAATTACAATAACTATTTTTAAATGACAAGTGTCTACTTTAGTATATTAGTAATTATTGACAGTGTGAGAAGAGACATCCGTCGTGGAGTCAAAGTGAACTAACATTTAGGTTTTAAGAATAATACTTTAAAACCTATTGTCATGTGATAACTTCATCATTACCATCCTTACGCCTCTTCACAAGTCCACTGCTGACTGGCTCCCCCCCCCCCCTAGGAATGCCACAAAGCGCGGTCCTGAGCCATCTGAATTCATCGACTTTCTCCATGTATTACCACATCGTCACTCTATCTAGCAGAGGGACGCCCTACACTTTACCTACCGCTACGAGGCTGCCCCTCGAGAACCTTTTTCCTCATGAGTTGTCGGTTTTTCGGGCTATATGTCTGACACATTGCCACTTAAGCTTACTAAACCTTTGGGCTATGTTGGTCACTCTAGTTCTACTGCGAATATCCTCATTTCTAAGTTTATCACGCAGAGAAACCCTTAAGCGTCCTCATACGGCCAGCAGTGGAGGACCACGTCTCAGATCCATAAGCCATCACTGGCAACACGCACTAGTTGTACAGTCTCGTTTTCAGGTTTTAAGTATACCTGACGAGAAGATATGACGTAATTTTCCGAACGCTGCCCAGCCGAGTTGAATCCATCGATTAACCTCTCGGTCGAAGTTGGACTTACCTAGACGGACTATTTGTCCCAGGTAAACGTACTCGTCAACAACTTTGAGCTTAGTGCTCCCAACAACCGCCAGCATAGGTGTGACATGGACATTACATATGACCTTTGTTTTGTCCATGTTCATCTTAAGACCTATCCGTTGGGTGAAACTATTGAGGTCATTAAGCACAGTGCTTAGGTTCTCCAGCGATTCTGTCATAAGGACATTATATTGTTGACAAATCGAACTGACCATTGATGTTAATACCGTATCCTTTCCAGTTCAGTAGCTTGAAAACGTCTTCCAATGCAGCGATGAAGAAGTTTCTAGGATAAAGCGTTACACCTCCCTGCAGTTGGATGAGTTTCGTACTCAATAGTCCACAAACGCAATGCAAAGTAGCAGAATTTACTCTTCAGTCTTCTGTAAAATTTACCGCAGGGTATGTATTTGGTCTATGGTACTGAAGCCTTTTCGGAAACAGGCTTATTCGAGAGGCTGAAAGTCGTT